AGGCTTGTCCTTCTCATTTATATCACAGTCTGACAAAAAATACATAATCAGATTAAAATATCACCTACAACCTGATTCATGAAAGTTGTCTTCCCTCGCACTACAAGCACTGATTCTTTTTGTTTGTGGTTATGGCAATTTAATATGCAAGAATCTAAATCTTGCCCTCCCACTTTTCACACCGTTTTCATATTTCTTTGTGAAAAAATGAAATTGTTTTGCGCTATCTGCAAATAGGAAACACAAACATATTGGGTTTCGTTATAGATTCTTAAAAAATGTGTGCGTCAGTATTTGAGACGGTCCCCGGATGCAGCCGTTTTATAATATAAGCAGGCTGCACACGAGGCTAAAAGGCTATCGACTGGCTAAAATAATAATCTTGAATAACGAAGTATACCTTCGACGGTCAACCAGTATCTTGTCACTTCTTTCCCTCCTTCTGTTTGCATCTCTGAGTAGTACAACGCTGAATCGCTTGACGTCAACTTATATATTTTTAATTCTTTTTTGGTTTCGTTGGACAGTTCGGTAGAGTATTTGAACCACTTGATGTTGGTTTGATTTTCCTTTAGTAATGGGTAATAATGCTTGGCTGTAAAGGTCACGCATTCGCCTCGTTTCTTCTGCATAGGCAGTTCGTTTCGATCGATCACTTTCTCATCTAAATGAGCATTTAAAAAAAAAAATATTGTCAGAAAACAGTGAAATATAATCTATTGCCCTATTTCATTATGACGCCACATCAAAAAAATTCTATGGATTATGGTCGCCACAAGGGATCAGAGTGACTGCATGCATATCAAATAAAATGTACATGAGTAATCTTTGTTACATGAATTTTATCGAAACAAGTAATATTTATGTTCTGCTTTCGGAGAGAATACAAATGGTTCCAAAGTTCCACTGTTTTTGAGCATCTTTCCGCTAACATACTGTGACGTCATAATGAAATAGGGCATTAAAACAACCAAAATCAAAGGACGTTTTCAAAGAACAGCAAGAAAGGAAGAAGTTGTGGCATGGACATTTTAGTAGAAGAGGAAAAGTTTTGTTTTGACTACTGATGGCTAGCAGTTACTAGTTTTCGCTAGGAGCAAGGGCATGACAGGGATAAGAATTTTACCATTGAATTGCCATCCCACAACAAAGCCATTGATTTAAAATCGAGATTTTAAAATGAGTCCATATACAAATATGTGCATTCGAAGAAACTTTGGGATCATGCAGGGATCGGTATTTTTCTGGGAAATTTGGAAGGTAATAATCTGGATTTTTGAAGTTTAATCGAAATCATGTCGACACCTATATGATTTGTGTAATTGTAATGATTTGTAATTTCAAATGTCAGATCATAATATCAATGACCATAGTTATAAAATGTTGCCATTTCGTACGATCTAGGCCACCTGAGAATATAATACTCAAAGGTGATTGGAACGATCTCAGTCGAGCTTACAACGTCGTTACTCAGTCGTTAAATTGTCATTGGACTCTTATTGTGCTGTTGTTATATTCAATTGCCGTACTGACGATGGGAGCTCTAGTCGGAATAAATAACAATTATATATAATAACATCTCAGAGGAAGGCCAGCGGGATAATAGAAGTAACATTCATTATTCAGAAAGCATCCGTGACAAGAAGTACACTACATATTACTTACCCGCAAAAACAACTACAATGAAGACAAATCCTACAATGAACCCTCCAAGAGTGGCCATATCGGTAGAAAAACCAAACAGATATCAATTTAACAAATTAGAACAGAAAATTGGCTTCATTTTATCCAAATAAACACAGAATACCGCGTTTAAACTCAACGTTTTGCTGGTTCCTTTGACTACAGCGTAATGTGTGTACATGACGTCACTAGTTAATTGAAAATCTATTACTTTTTGATAAATGATTGACATTTTTGCGTGAAATTTTGTCCTTTTATGTAGCAGGTTGCTTAAGTAGCAATGATTTGGCATAATACATCAGTTTCAATAAGTTGATTCTATATATTTTTGGAAATTCTTCAAAATCTCCGTCGCGGCTCGGTTTTACTGACAGGCGTTTCCGGATATTTTCGTTTTCTTTCAATTTGTTGTTGTTTTTGCCTGTTTTCCTTTGTTTTATTTTTCTGTATTTATTTTTCTGTATTTATTTTTTTGTATTTATTTTTTTTCTTGTCTTTGTTCAGCAGAAATTATTGGCTTTTTAACTTCGCGTGTGTTGTTCTATCGACTATTCCACGAGTATATATCGATTGTGATCTGCAAACAAGGCCAGGCCACTCAGCTTCCTGTGGATTTCCGTAGATCTCCTTTTCTTGGTTCATAAACTTCACTTTTTCCTTTGTTTTCTGTTTGATTTTTCGTTTAAAAKTGAACATGTAACACGTATGAATAAAAAATGGCTTGGGAAAACGAAGAATCTTGAYGTAARGGAAAAGGTAAGGGRAAAATATTATTGAAATGTGTAACTTCTCCGTCAAACATTTGAACAAACACTCTGGTAATCGAATTGTCTGACGGCGTCAATTCATCCTTTTGAAATCTTTTGTCAGTCCTTTAGTAAAATAGAAAAGTGTAGTTACTAAGGTTTACTGATAAAGTTGTGTTTTATCTAACTTCAATCAAGTTGTTGAACACTACAGTGTGACACTAGACTATTTCACACTCTCGTCGCTAGGATCTCGTCGTCAACGTTGAAAAGGAGAAGATAAGTTACTAGTGCGGAGCCACTTGAGTTTCTTGTTTTATGCGTTCTTGGCAACAATCATTTAAATGGCCTAAAACAGGAGAAAGTTTTGTTTATTTGACACAGTATTTTCGTATATGAAGATAACAATTCCAGTTCGTGTTCGCGTATTAAAAGCATTGAGCATTGTTTTGGTGTTTTATAAAACCAGCTCAGTGTGATTCTGCTGTGAAAAGGAAACTGTTTCTTTGAATTAGATTTTTGATTTATTTTTTGGCGATAGCATCAAACGGCGAAGAATAATAAATTCTACTATTAAGTCCTATAAACAGTTCAATGTTTTAGTATCAGAAGCACGAAAGAGTACATTTTTTTTGACAACCTGATTACTATTATAGCTGAGAGTTTGTCGTTAATTAATGTTTTTAGGTTGGGGCAAAATAAATTATTCAACATTTAGACCAACATATTTAAAACCTTAAAATGATTTTGACATACTTGTCATTTAGCTTGGAATTATCTGCCTTTAGTGAAGTGGCAAGAAAGACTTTATTTATTTTGAAAATTCAGTATGTAGAGAGAAATGTAGAGTTCTGTTGAAATAGTGGAACAGCTGAGATGATCACAAAAAAACTCAGTATTTTTCGGTCATACATTTTCAGTAATTGACCACTATATTTGTCGAACAGATATTTTGAGACACAGCAATTTGTACAAAACATGCCATGTTTTATGTTATTGTTAACTCTAATGATTTGGTATCTTATTTTGAAATTCTTTTATTTAATTTACATGTAGATGGATGAAGTTACAAGATGTTTAAATAATAAAGTAGCCATTGGTTAACCACAAGACTCCTTTTGTGAGGGTAGAGACAAAAATTCCTTGAATTACAGAAATATTACAATGGGTAATGCAACATCTGAACCAATGCAGCAACAAACGCAGCTAAAYAAATCATCTAATGATGAAAAAAGAAGAAAATTTCCRAGATGGCACAACATAAGRAAAAGACTCACWAGAGGGAAAGCWATGTTTAGAAGCCATGACCATGCTAAAATGCTTAGAGATCTTGTACATACWTGGAGCTATCAAGAAATAGTTGCTCTAGTTGAGCATTACAAAATGCTGATATCTCTGAAGGATTCTTTAATACAAAACAATTTAATCCGTCCCCATGTCCAACCACTTAAAAATGACATGCTTGATTTACTTCACAAACAATTCTGTACTGATGTCACTCTTGTRTTTAATGGAGTCAAATTCCCTGCTCACAAAGCAATACTTTCATCKCGGTGTACATACTTTCAAGAATTATTTTTAGAAATGGAGCAAAATAGTAATGGTGAAATACCGGTGAATTTCCCRGTGGATGGTATCACACARGAAATGTTCAAAACACTTCTACAGTATCTTTATACYGGGGATTTCCCTAACCAAACATCAGGGCATCTTGACATGTTGATGCAACTTGGTGARGAATTTGGGACGCCTAATGTCCTRGAACAAGACTTCAAAGGACTCTTATACAATGGCCAACATGCTGATATGATGCTTGTATTTCAAGGACATCATTATCCTGAYATTGTGAAGGATAAYTCTGAGTTATCAGAGACCAATTTTGAAGTGCCRTGCCACAAGGCCATACTCTGCGCACGTTCTTCWTAYTTTAGATCTTTGATACTGAACAAAGAACTCCAGCTTCCAGTGTGCGAAGATACTGGCTGCATCCGTGTAGTMATYGATGAAAGAATACTTCCTCAACAATATGCTAGAGTTGTACTACAATGCATGTACACTGATTCATTTGATCTTTCATCCGTTGTGAAATGGAGCTCAGAGGAAAGGAAGTCTTATGGTATAGGTACCCACAATCTGTTGACCATGGCTGAGATTGCCATGGAAGTATACGAAGTGGCCAAGTTTATTGAATTTGATGTTCTTGCACAAGGTATGATGTCATGGAATTTGCATGTTAGGGGCTGTTCATAAATTATGCCTGAAGGGGGCTGGAGGAAAAGTAGGGGGGGCTTTGAAAAATAAACAGACAATGAAGGGGGGCAGGCTTTAATGGAATTTGCTGACTTGAAGGGGGGGGTTGAAACACAAAATTAAGGTATGCATGGTATATAAATCAATGTTTTTTTTATTTTTATACATAAGGTCTAAGTACGTAAGCATTCACTTGCTTTTTTTCCTCCAGACCACCCTGAGGCATATTTAATGAACAGTCCCTTAGTAGAATGAACAGTCCCTTAGTAGAATGAACAGTCCCTTAGTAGAATGAACAGTCCCTTAGTAGAATGAACAGTCCCTTAGTAGAGCTGAGGTGGCATAGCTTTTACCCCTGTGACTCTATGAGCTCTGTAAGTTTTTTTCCACATTTGTGAAGAAAAAGTGATTAGAGATTTGAGGTCTATAAACAAAAAATAAATGTTTATCTATGATCTTCTGAGCAAGCTTTAATTTTCCAGTTCAAAGTGGATGACTGGTCACTATCTTTTTTAATGATTGACACTAACACAAATAAAACCATGAATAAATGTTCTCATTTCATACACAGCCATTTTGAGAAAATGAAAAGTCTTTTGKGTAATGTGGTAACACATTTTTCATGCTTTCTTTTGTTTTAAGTAAGGTCTTTGCACAAGAAAGTCTGTGTCAAGTGAGACTGTGTCAGTCATCTCCGTTTCGTCATCTCTTTTGAAGTGGATTTAAATGTCAACAATGAGCGCAGTACTAGCTAGCAAGTACTCAGCAAGGCTGTTTTTTTTATTTTTAGGCTGTGAGGATGTTTTACAAGAAGAGCTCTCACCTTCATCCTTATTAAATGTGCTTGAATGGAGTTCTCAACCTCATGGATCTGAATGGGTGTCCAGACAAGCAGAACAGTACTTACTAGAAGAATTTACCACAATRGCACAAACAGACACATTCAGCAAACTCCCTAAAAAATACCTGGTGAAAATATTGCAATCAGATTTTCTACAGGTGAAGTTACTAAACTGAACACACGTTATCAATTGTTTACCAATGTAAAACTCTTCTTTCTTTTTCCAATCAGAAATTCATGCTAGATCTAAGGTCAACATCTGATAAACATCTCATGGCATCAGTATAATCATTGTTCATATAATAATTCTTAATATGAAAGTGAAGATACATGTATCGAATTATTTAGCAAATTTATTTATTTAAGAAATAAAATACGATGCATGTGTCTCTGTCCTCTGATATAAACACAGTGGGAGTTCGAAAAACACAAGAGAAGCAAGCTTAGGAACACGAGCGTAGCGAGTGTTTCTCTTGCTTCTTGAGTGTTTTTCAATCAAAGCGCGCGTTATATATCCAAAATTTTATAATATAATGTAGACTTTATTGACTAGAATGTTTTACTAAGTGATAATGTATAAAATATGAAACTGGTTATATTGTCATAATGTCTTAACAGGCATTATTAGTTTTAATTGGGATTTTCTTTCATCAGGCTTGTGAACATGATGTTTTGCTTTCTGTCATAAGATGGGGCGAGGCTCATGCAGCTAAGAAGATCCAAGCTAGACAAGGTAAGAAAAGCTACATAAATCACTCAATAGGTGTAGCTAAGAAGATCCAAGCTAGACAAGGTAAGAAAA